AAAAGAAAAGAAAAGCTACAAGTTGAAGTGTTTCTATGAGCCAGAGGTACTTGCTTTGCCTGTAAAATGTACTCTAGTGCTCATCTAACTGCAGACCATGTCCCAGGCCAAGGGAGAGGGAAAAAAAAGCTTGATTGATGAGAACATAGCTGCAAAACAGAACTCGCTGCTGCTAGCTTTCCTGTTGTCACTAGTATTAAAACACTCCTTGGACTTGTGATGAAACAACCAGAATTCAAACCACCGACCTGACAGATTCATGCGAGCTTGCCCATGTTGCCTAAAAACTACTGCTGCCAAGAAGAGAGGTCCTGTCTGAGCAATGTGACCAGAGGGTTACAAAGAAGGTTAATTACAGCAGGAAAACACATTGTCAATATTTGATTTTAGCAGCTGTGTAAGGCTGATATCACATACAGGAGGCAGGCAGGCCACGCTCAAAAAACATTTCCATTTGCTCATAAAAATTACATCTCCATTTTAGAAGTTTTGACCAATGCCCATCACTTTAGGAATTTATTATAACCTAAAATAAAAATCTAATCAAAGTCTTTCAAGTATTAGAACAACAGGTCGTAAACACAATTTAAAGTTATACCTCGGCTACCTTGAACACATAATATCCTACCTATATTGGAAAACTGAAATAATGTCAAGTGGCCATTTGTTGCTAAGCTACTCAGTGCAAAGCAAGCTTGGAGTAGTATCAAATCTATTCTAAACTACAGAGAAAATCTAAGGCTTTTGAAGTATAATAACCACTCTTAAATTATGTCTTGAAAATTCTCACAAAGTGCCTGAAGTTTTGAAAAGCCACCGTGGAGGAAACAATCCAGTGGGTAATGATCTCACTACAAGTCCACTTCAGAGCCAGAGAAGGACCATCCTTGTCCTTCACAGAGGGCAGTTTAGAGGGCTGCTCGCGAGGACGTGCTCCTGGGCCACCCCTCTGCCCACCTCTCCTACAGCAGGGAGGTGTGAGCGGGACAGGACCAAAGGCCCTTTTCCCCCATAACTTCATGTTCTACAGTGTGAGGTTTTGAGTTCCAAGGACAGTGAGGGTGCCAGAGCCCTGGCACAGGCTGCCCAGGGAGGTTGGGGAGTCTCCTTCTCTGGAGATCTTCAAAACCCACCTGGATACCGCCCTGTGCCCCGTGCTCTGGGTGTCCCTGCTGGAGCAGGGGGGTTGGACTAGATGACCTCTGAGGTCCCTTCCAACCTTGAATATTCTGTGATTCTATGACAGCATAAATCCAAGTCAGAAACGCATTTTTCACCCACCTGGACATGAAATGGCCGCTGGGTTGTAGGTGGGACAGTGCATTTTCACCCTTCCCATGCAGAAGTGCCACTTCACAAATGGATGGAAGGAAAAAAATCATAAAGACTTAGCCAGAAAGGAAAGATCCAATCTTGAAGGAAATAGCTGAACTGGATTTCAATGCTTTATGAAAAGCTGCTCTTAAGATAGATGTTTTTACAACTGGAAATCCATAATGCCAAGTATGGGAGGACCTCCTGATGCCATCTGGAAGGGCTACCACCACCTCCAGGAGGTGACCCCGGACAAGGCGAGTGAAATGAAACCTGCAGGCGGAACCGACTCTGGGGACATTTCTTTTTCAAGCCATCTATCTGAGAGCCACCCCGCAGCCACCCATAGCCGTGTGGCAGCCTGTGCTCTCTTTGGTGGATGCAGTCTGATGTGGAAAGTCGGAATGTTTTCCCAGGATATTAAAAATGCACCTTCTTATGAGGGAGGGGAAAGAAAATTGCTCGTTTCAACAGCCTGTAATGAGCCACACCGAGGTCACCGATACAAACACAAAATGTATTGCTGTTGGTGCAGCTCCCACTGCTTTGTAATGAGACGTTTTTCTGGAAGAGAGGTGAAGTACAGGTACAATAAAAGGTACACCCACACAGAGGAGGCTTCTGTGTCTTCCCAAACAAATTAGTTTTGCTCAGAGACATTACTGAGGGAAGACAATAGCACACAATTTTCTGCCTTGCTGTGTAGTGAACCTCTTCCAGGACACAGCTGGAACTACTGGTGCACTGAAACAAGCAAACACTGGGTAGATTAAACATTAGGATTTTATTTTTAAGTTAATGTAGACCTACTTAATGATTGCACTCTTCATACTCCTTATTATACTTACTGGTTGGTTTTATTATGGAAGCTTTTCTAGAAACATTTCTCTCTTAATAAACATACCAATACCTCCCTGAGCAACAGCAGTGAAATGCTCAACACTACCACTTCACGTGGGTTCCTTTGGGCCTCTTTAATTAGTCTTTGAATACGTAAGTATTCCAGAACTAAAACTGGGATATTTTCAAACTGATTTTTCCCACAGAAAACTAGGGGGAAAAGGTCTTTCTCACTTTGGAAAACTTTGTTTCTTGGTGAGCTGGCATCCAAAGATAGTGTAAGACAACAATTTGAGAAAACCTCCAATTTGTAGCTTCTAACTTCTAGGTAACTTCCGAGAACTGATCCCTTCCTCTGTAACAAACTGTCACATAAATACAACCACCTGAATTTGTGAGCTCACCCGAGGCACCTGTTACAAAGTGATGTCACCCCAATGCAAACACAGCACAGGTACACAAAAGAAAAGCCACTTCTGCATACAAACGCAATTAATTCACCCACACTGATTAAGGGGCTATAGCCTCTGTGACACTCTTAAAGTACCAGGAAGCATCTGAAGCTCTGCAAAAGAATCTCAGCTTTATATCATTTAAAACAGGTAATGCTGAGTCTTTATATTAAGAAAATCAACTAAGTCATTCAGCCTCCATTCGTCCATCTCTAAAGAAAACAAACACCGACTCACTCTTTAATGTTCACAGTAGTTCACCTCCCAGGATCATCAGCTGTTTCCTTCAACCCAGTGGAATGGGATCACCCACGGCATGCTCATCCAAATGACAAGCAGCTCATGGATCATCCTGGAAGCAAACCCTGGCCTCCTCCTGATTTGATCAGATTTAGATAAGCCCTTTCTGGAGTAAACAGGAACACTCTGGCGTCATGAAGGAGCCAGAAACCACGCACCAAAAGCAACTGTTCCAAAGCTCAGTTGGAACACACCTGCACTGAAACCTGCCGGGATGCGCCTTTTGTGTGTCACCATCCCTTTTGGTTCCCGGTCTGTAACACCAGCATCATGAGCTTAGATGCAGTATTAGGGATGTCCAGGACAAACACAGCTGCAGTTAAGTCCTGTAGATGGGCTCTGCTTTTCCCTGCAGACAGATGGAGCCCAAGGTCTGTGACGTTTATTCTAATCCATGCTGGAAGAACCACCACAGCAAAACGCCTCCGCACTCAACCCCTTCTTAGCTGTCCAAAGATACCTATTAATTTTGCTGTTTGCCTTGCTCCATTTTTTATTGTCTCATTCACAGCATATAAACCAAGTGTTCAGACGGATACGATCGCTCCTCATACAGATGTTGGGGATGGGATTTGTGAGCAATTAAGGGCAATACAGATCTCAGCTGAAGTGTGCTTCCCAACACTCTCCCTCCCAGCGCCCAGGTTCACACATTTCCAAAGCCTCTCCAGAAACTCCAAGTGCAGCAGCATCCCAGCTCCCTCTCACAGCGCCGTTCCAGTTCCACATGCCTCCCGACACGGAACACAGCTGATCTCATGGGGATCAATTCCCCCATCCTTCCCGACAGGCCCGATGCCTCCAAAACCAATTCCCTGCACGCTGCAAGCGCAAGCAGCAGCTTCCACCCTGACATCAGACTGGAAAGACCCTTTCAGGAACGAGCAGGAAGATACGCTAAGCGCAGTGCAGCCTTCACAGGCTCCTCGAGCCCTTCTGAGGTGGCTCCACTCCTGCAAACTCAACCGCAACCCCTCTCTCAGCCTCTGGGGAGGTCACAAGCTGAGCCCAGCCTAAGTGCTAGGGCAAAGGAAGAAGCTGCTGGAGCCCCGTGTCACAACAGCTACTTCTCTTTCTTCTGCCTGTCTGGATAAGGGCGAAGGATGATGATGAAATGAAAGCTCAAAGGGCAGGCTGATGGCAAGGCAGCCTGTTGGAGCCAAAGAGCCTGACACAGCAGCAATTAATCAAGTCATTTTACTGAAAGAAAGAAGCCAGTTTCTTTCAGCACAGCAGTGTCATCAGAGATCCTGGACGACAGGAACATCAGAAATTCTTCAGTATCCTAAGGAGGAAGATGCAGGGTTTAGCCATTAAAACCAAAATGTGATTTTTTTTTTTTTTTTGAAGTCAAAGTACTCATTTACTACTGCCTTTTCTTTACAGTGACTGACAGCCAGATCCTCTTCTAGTGCTACACTTCAAGTCTACTAAATCAGAGTGCACTGAAAACATGACAGATCAGTTTAAGATAGACAGGCACTGTCACACAGCAGTATCATTAGCACATTTTACAAAAACGCTAAGATAAGGATGCTACAGCTACAAGCCTGGCTCCTTAGGAAGAAGAAATAACCATTCACCATCGTAAGAGGAGGATGCAAACAGCACCAGAGGTCATAAGGAAACAGTAACTACATATTTCATTGACATTTCGACAGGCGACTGCTTGGCTGTTTTCTTCCTCCAAGTTATCATCTGATACCAGATTGCTGCTTTATGATAACATTATGATAATATTAATGGGGTGAAAAAAACTGATTCACGTAACACTACCTACTATTACTGCAGCTTCCCGAGAGTATTTTTGGGTCCTCGCCATCTGCAGACCATAAACTGTTGTGATTTTACCCTCAGCAGAGCTTGTGACAAGGAAAGGCCCAATATCAGCAAGGAAGTTCAATGGGAGACCCAGGCTCTCTGCCTGTGCTCCAAGCTCTCAGCTGCTCTCCTGAGCTTGGAGAAAACTCTTCTGTATCACATTATAAATTGAAAATACAGAAAATGTACTAAAATGCACATAATTAATGTAAAATTCTTGGATTTTTATTATTTAATTTTGTATTTTACCAAAAGTGCTTTTAAATGGTATTCTCTGTAAATATGTACAAAACCAAGAACCTATCTGGTTTGCCTGCAAGTCAAATAAAAATTTAAGTCGACAAAGAATGATTTTCAGTGATCAGTTACCTGAGTTACAGTGCAGTATTTAAATTCAGACAGTATTGCTCTTAAGACATTTTACAGTAAGAAATAATACGCATTGAGTCAAAACCTACATCAGTGCTTGTTACATATTTCAAAATTCTTATGAGTCAATAACATTATATAACCAACAATGTGTACTACACACTTCTGCTTGCCTCTACAATAAATTAATATCCTGGGTGAATTTTAAGTATTAACAAAAATATTTACAAAAACAAGATAAAACACAGTATAAAATGCTTTTTCAAAGATATATTTCTTCCAAGAAACGGTTTGGTACCAAGAGTGAAATCTCAAGTCTTAAAAAAATTACTTTTCATTTAAATAAAGCCATGAAGGTAAATAAATAAGGTTGAGCTGTACAAAGACACACTGATATCTTCATTTCATTTTACGCAGTAAAAGCATGCATTTCTTCTTGGGAGTAACCAAGATCCTTCAGACATCTGAAAGTCAGAAATCAAGTTTGTAATGTTAGTATTTGGAAACCAAACCCACGACAGATTCGTTTCATTTCCATAAATTCACGTGCAAGGCACAAATTTTTAGGATACTATAATAGTTTCTCAAAAGAATTAAAGATATCACTTTAACTATCTCAGATTTCTTAAGGAGTGGCATAATTATTGGCCAATTTCACTCTCCTTCCTGTACATTTCTACAGCCCTACTGAAATCAGCTGCATGGAAATGATACCCATACTGGTTCTCTGCTTTGAGTCCTGATGAGAGAAAGCTAAAAGACTTTTTATCTTTAAATATATGGTGTATAAAATAAGAACAGTATAAGTATGCCGTAATAAGCATGTAAACGCATAAATAAAAAATCAACTGTTTCTCCCAAAGCAGCTGCTTCTAATTCTACTCTTAATAACTCAGTTGTTAAGCCAGCACCAATACAGAAAGCTTATTTCCTACAGCTTGTCTCTAAAGCAGCATTTAAAAGCAGCTCTAAAAGCAGCATTTAAAGTCTTGAAAAATAAGTCATTGTTAATGAGATGCTCTTAGAAAGTTTCTTTTTTACTGGAAATGAAATTCTGGAAATGAAATTTTACTGGAACTATGAAATTCACATATTGCTAATATTTGCCTATCTACATATTGAGTCCTAAAATATCATGTCATGTATTTCTGAAAGCGCAGTTTTTAAAAACTAAAAGTTTGCTCATGAATTAGAAAACTGAAGGGTATTGTAGAAAGAACATGACATCAGAAATATTACAGCCAGTTAGGTATTCAAATTAAATGATAAACAGAGAATGATTAAAAAAATAAGCACTCACTGTACTCCTTGTTCAGTAAAAGGTGCTGGACCACAGATGCAGACAAGCACTTTGGAGTCTTTCCTGCTTCTCTTCAGAAACCCAGAGAGAAGAGATGAAGAAATTCTGCCCTGCTGACCCGCCCAGCCCCTTGCTGGTTCCGAAAGAACAAACTGAACCTCAAACCTGGAAAGAAGAAAAATATTTCAGGAACAGTGATCCAAATTTCCCATCTGCTATGGAGCATTAGTGATCAAGACTGCGGTTCCCCAGCATTAGCCTCTTGTTTTGCTCTGCTCCCACGGCACAGGGTAAGACCTCACAGACATTGAGGGTGTCCTAGCAAGCGAGCAAGCTAACCACATCACCTCCAATATTCTGTATTTTATTAGGGGTAATCCAATCTTTAAAGACTCTTAGTTATGTATTTCATCTCAAATAGAAAATCACCTGGTACCTACTGAGATACTGAAGTACAATTACATTATTCACGTATACAATGTTGGCCGAACGCAACACATCAGTGGCAAAACCAGAACGTTTAGCCACCCTTGTGGAAATGTCACTACAATTTCCCTAGGAAAAAATACTGTAACTGGTTTTGAAGACCTACCAAGGTAGCCACTGATGAGAGGTATAAAGAAAGTCAAGCACTCACGTAGCTGAGACTCCTGTTGAACAGGAAAAATGGCTTTACTGTGATATTGCACTAGGCTAGGAAGCTCTGGAGGTGCCAGACATCACTATGGTAAGAAATATTGACTTTTCACGTCCATGCTTTGGAGGAACACACAAAATTAGTTTGTTCACACAATTTCGGCGAAGAATAAATAGGCATAAACAAAAGGAACTCTCCACCTCCAAAAGGCTGCACATTGGCAATTGATGTAGTCACAAAAACAGAGATACAGAAACCAAAGCAAGCAAAGCACTTGAATTAAAGCGTCTCTCCTGAAAGAGCTGTGGCCTGCCAAATTTAATTAACATTGCATGTCCACTAGGGAATTTTAATGCATAATTACTTTGTACTAGAGAAAGAAATTGCCACAATTAGGGAGTAAGTAAAAATGAAAAGTAATAGACTTAAGCTTTGTAGTTCTAGATAAATATTTTCTTAAGTGGTAACAGGCTTTTTTCAAGACTCCTTGGTAAATCCAGATTTTTTTCTCCAAAGGTGCCTGTTGCTTTCACACTTCTCTTTCCATAAACATATTTTCTGTTGTTAGAATTAATTTTCTTCACCTTCAAAAACCTTCTCAGCCAATCTCAGCTGTACTCTCATCCAAGATATCATCTCCAATCAACCCCTATTAAACATCTCCTCCAACTCCTGTCTTCACGTAGGTGAGGAACTACAGAACAGTGTCCTGGGCTGCTGCTAACAGCGCCCAGGTACCAGGGCTCACTTCACCCTTAGGTTCCTCCTCTCCCCATGTCTCTTGTTCAAGAGTAGCTAAAAGTTTCCAAAAGCAGCACCTGCCTTTGTGCTACAGTTGGACAACACAGCCCATGGCCTAGAGTGTTCTCCTATATATTAGGCTGCTACTAGGTTCTCCTATATATAAGGTTGTATGCCAAAGAACTTTAATACTTTTCAAACTTTAAAACTTTTCAAACTTTAAAAATACCTTTCATCTTTAAGGGCTAATTGCTCCAGCTGATTTCTCCAAAGTATGTCATCTTCTGTTTTGTTGAAGAAGATCAGCTTTGCTGTCCTAAAAGAATAAATAAAAGAAAAATCACTGCAGATTGTTTCTGTATTTGAAACAAGTGTTAAAGAATCCGAACTCACTGAAATTTACAGAAATATTTGCCCTTTGAAAGTCTGTTTTATTTGTGACCGCTCTTTAAAAAACGCCAGGCTCCTACCTGAACTGCAGTCCTAAGGAAAATAAGGGTCTTTCTCAAAAAAGTTCTGCTCTACTCTTAAATCATGCTTTAGTACTTGTTTATGAAAGTTTTGCATAGTGGTTTCTTAATATTATTTCAATGTGTCTGCTGGAGTTAACAGATGCTATATAAATTCTGCACACCTTTTTAGTATCACAGAACATAGCTTGTAGAGATGAAGCTGGAATTTCAAGAGGGTTATGTCAATACTAAATTCAAAAAGATGTAATCTAGTCCTACATAAGTTAAAAACAAAAAACAAAACAAAACAAAAAATAACCAAAAACAACAACAACAACAAAACCTTACTCTTTTGATTCGATTTTTAAAATATTAAGCTGAAGATGATGCTGGAGCATCTGCCAGGACACCTGGAACCTTCAGCCCAGAGCTCCTGCGGAGCTCTCCTCCCTGCAGGTACATCCTAGAGCTGGGCACAGCTCCTGCTCTCCAACAGAGCTCAACCTGCACTTACAAAGCCCATATTCTCCCAGTCTGAAATATGCATTTTTCAGGCTTTCAACTTTTTCCCCTTTTTTTCCTTGCAGCCTGGGCACATCTCAAGCTACAGGGAAGCCTCTTCTAAGCTACACATAGCAGCAAACCTGACAAATCACCTTGTGAGCTGCACGCTCATTTTCTGCTGCCACAAACACCCCATCGAGGAGCAGCAGCTGCACGTAACCCACACCAGCAGTGCCAACAGAAGGAAGGTGTTCCAGAGGCAGCACAATCCGTAACAAATTACTGCGTAATAGCGTCCAAAAACTTGCCTGGGACAGAACAAAACATTACCCCACACAGACAACCACACTTTGCCTTTAAATACTAAATACATACATATGCATTTGGAAGATAGAATTGCATCAAAACTAAGTTTCTTGCACTCTTTCCAGAGCCCACTGCCCTGAAAACAGAGAAAACTCAGCTCACTTCAAGCACATCAGTTTTTTTAAAAAAAGCAAAGCACTGAAAAATAGTGCATGAGAAAGGAGTGTATTTTGTGCTTTGGCTACAAACATGGAACAAACTGGTGACAGGTTAGCTGTGAAGAAAGGAGGAAACAGCTAAAAAGAAGGTGTCTTCTCACCTTCTCCTCAAAATTTGGACGCGGCTGTCGTTACAGAAAAGTTAGCTGAGATAACAAGGGCAGAAGCTTAGAAAGAGAAATAAGAAACTTGACCAGTGCTTTGGATGAAATGGATGAAATCCCCAAAATGCTTTTAACAATTTTTTTCAAGGAATGCAGATTTCTCCATAGGTGGAGGGGTTAGAGAGCTCCTTAGATGCTCTTGACACAGACTGAGAGGGGGAGAAAGTCGCAACATGGGCTGCAAGCGCAAGAACAGGAGGAAAGAAGGAGTGTGTATGAAGAGATGGTAAGTGCAGGGTGGGAGCTCGGGGATGAAAAACTGGAGGCAAAACAGGTAAAACTGCCAAGGAGAATGACGGAGAGGCTGCAATTCCTAATGTTAAGGGCCCCTGGGCCTTGTTTAAGGCTCTTTGTTACTCAAGCGAAGTGCAGAGCTGTCTATACTCAACACAGTAACATTTTTATGCAGTTTGTTATATCACGTACCTAGATTCTGATAAAATAAGTATAAAAAATAACCATGAAAAATACTCTTGCAACATTTTCCTGCTGATGGAAGTGAGAGTTAAATGGCAAAAATAAGGCCAAGCAACTAAGCTGCCCACAGCAGTCAGAAACATCTAGCACAATGACTGCATAACCCATGTCTTCCCTCCAGAAGACAGTTACTCCAAGGTGCTTCAGAGAGGCTCCCTGGCCCTTCTTCAGACCACAGATTTATCCTTTGGAAGTCAGTGTGCTGGAGAGCTGCAGTTATCTGCCACAGACCGTACATGATGCTTTGGAAGAGCCTTGCACTGGGACAGCCTCTCTCCTCAGTAAACAGAACCATATAGAACTGCTAGACAACAAGCAATACCAGAATAACCTTTGGTTTTACACTTCTTTCCTAGACACAGAGAGTCATGTGCTGAACACATGACTCTCTTCAACTTCACTGTGAAGACTTGCCTCCAATTTTAAAACATTATGAAGCACATTTTGAAATAACATAAAGACATAATGAATCAAAACATCCTGTGCTTATACTGAATACACCAAGTTAACCATGAGTGAGCAGTGTGCCCTCGTGGCCAAGAAGGCCAATGGGATCCTGGCCTGCATCAGGAGGAGCGTTGCCAGCAGGTCAAGGGAGGTGATTCTGCCCCTCTACTCAGCTCTGGTGAGGCCGCACCTGGAGTACTGTGTGCAGTTCTGGGCACCCCAGTATAAGAGGGACGTGGAGCTTCTGGAGAGGGTCCAGAGAAGGGCAACCAGGATGATTAAGGGACTGGAACATCTCTCGTATGAAGAGAGGCTGAGCGAGCTGGGCCTGTTTTCTCTGGAGAAGAGAAGGCTCAGAGGGGATATGATTAATATGTATAAGTTCAGGAAGGGAGAATGCAGGGAGGAAGGGGACAGGCTGTTTTCACTGGTGGCCAGCGATAGGACGAGGGGTAATGGCCACAAACTGAAGCATAAGAAGTTCCGTCTCCAGGTGAGGAGCAACTTCTTTACTGTTAGGGTGACAGAGCAGTGGAACAGGCTGCCCAGGGAGGTTGTGGAGTCTCCTACTCTGGAGGTCTTCAAAACCCGCCTGGATGCCACCCTGTGCCACATGCTCTAGGTGTGCCTGCTTGAGCAGGAAGGTTGGACTAGATGATCTGTAGAGGTCCCTTCCAACCTTAAATATTCTGAAATATTCTGAAATATTCTGAATAAAAGCCAGCATTACCACTTAAGTATATTTTAAAAGATTCTGCATTCAAAGCTACAATTAAACAAGCACGAGTCTGTAGAACTGTCCTCAGCAACAATCTTAAAATAAAGCTTAGACTTGTTTTCCATTCCTATACTTTAAAATGACAGCAGCTCACATTGACAGAAAAGTACTATGTTACAAACTCGGGAGGGTGTGATTGTGCAGGCAGACCTTGTGCTGAAAGCAATGCAAGCTCACGTCACCTCGGCCAAAGCACAGCCCCACAGTCACCATCTGCATTGCCTTCTGAAGTCCAACTACTGCACGCTCTCTTAAGACTTTCCATATTCCATATTACTGTTTAGTTAACATAAAAAAAATATAAATATATATGTACACACACACGTACCGGAGACTAACAACTTCAGTCAGAGCAAAACTCAGCACTTTAACCATTGGTGTGAAGCCTGTGCCGGCTGCCAACAAAACCAGATCTTCTACAGCTTCAACTTGGGACTTCCTGAAGTTCCCTTCTGGATTGCTGATAGAAATACAGTCTCCTACATAATAAAAATACAGAACAGAAAGCCTTAAATGAGAAGGAAAAAATAAACAAACAAAAAAACCCCAGAATACTAGTTAACTATTTTTCAAGGCCTTTAAATTGGGGTCATCCTTGTAGTATCAGGGTTCCTTCTAGGGGATATTTTACACATATCACACATGGATCTTCTGTGTTACACGAGCAGATGTTCAATTAAAATGTCTTGTTTTGATATATTTTACATGGCAACACTGACTTCACAAATGTGCATATACTCATATGCAAACAACAAAAAAAGGAGGAACCTCTTCAGTCTAATGAGAGACCTAAATTTCAGTCACGACAGTCACAACAGTCTCATATGGGGATTGTTCCTAATTACAGATAGGATGAGGCCGCAGGTTTGAGACAAGAAACAGGATTAAGAAGTTAAAAGCACGCATGGGTTCTACCTGGTGAAGGAACATCATGACACCCATGGCAGCAAACCTGATAAGATAAAGCACTTTAAAGATAAAAACTGCTAATAGAAAAGCAACACTTGCACTCACCGATTTGTAGGCGGTCAAGGGCCTGTGTGAACAGTCCACTGGGATAAATTTTAATCATTAAGTATATATTTGCACTATCGTGGCAGGAGGGTTCTTCGAAATCCAGCGGCAAAAAAGGCAATAAAGGTGTGTATGGCTTTACTACCTCTGTCCCTAAAAGAAAATAAACAAGGCAGCTAAAGAAGTGTCCCCTATTCAGCAAGTTTTCTGAAAACAACAGAAATACCTCACACAAATAACATCATACTGCATACTTTTAAACAAGTACTTTATTTTTCATTGTATCATTTCTTACTAAAAGTCTTCCAGATCCCTGACTAAAATCTTCAGGCCACAGGACAGTGTGTTATTTCTATACTACTTAGCAATTCAAAAGCACTGGAAAAAGAGGTTTTTGGTTACCCCCAATGAAAAGGAGTATCTAACTATTACTATTCAGTTTCAAATATCATAAATTCCCTTTTTATTGAAATAACAGATTTTTAACACTACGGTTATATTTTCTTTCACTATCATTTAACAGAAGTAATAAAAAAGTCAGCAAGAGTGGAACACTGACATAGAAGTGTTGGAAGAGGAGGAAGGACAAAACATATTTTAGGAATAAAAGATAGTAGTAACTGAGCATTCAGAGGAATTTCCTCTGCCATGTACAAATAGCACAAGGCAAGTTTTTTAAAGCATAAATAAAAAGGGAGGGGATGGTACAATTCAGACAGGAGTGAGAGAAACATAACCCCCTGTAATTGTAACAGATACACAATGAATTCCCCCCATCCCCAAAGACGAGCAGCACTTCTTGCACAGGGAGAATGTTTTAAAGGCTGAGTTGGAAGAAAAGAGGAGACATAAGGTCAACAACAGACTAGAATGACAGAGATGTTGTTATTCAGCCTTTTGGCAGTATTAACCCAGTGAGCTCATTCCTAAGCTGTGACTGTGATCACACAGTGCAGACGTTCCAGCTCTGGTTTTATATTAAAATAACCGTGATGATGTTCTCCATCTTTCCTACCTGCAATGATGTGTTTGAGGTAAACATGTTGTCCAGTGGGAATGTGGAAATGAGTGCTCTCAGGCAACTTGAAGCAGAAAAGCTTGGTGTCATGGGTAACTTCTGTCTTAGAAACCAACTTGCATTTTCTGTAGAACAGATCTAAAAACATGTTTTACTTGTTATTTAAACCTTAACCAGGCTTTCTGTTTTCATGTGAATAAAAAAGAGAAAAATAAATACACAGTTCACTATACATGGTTATCTAAACACGTAAGCAGCTTCTTCTTGTATAATTACTTATAATTATTTCCAATTTGGGGGCACAGTTTCATTTACAGTCTTAATTCCATTCTCAGTAACAGGCCGAATGTCTAAGTTATCAGTCAGCACACACTTGCACGCAGCAGAAAAGCTCCCATGTATTTAGGTTATGCCACACACCCATGGAAAGCACAACCACTGCTTGCATCTGCACTGCACTCACCATGCGACCACATACGAAGGCTCACACACAGACAGACCAAAAACCAAAACTTGTGCAACGCAAGGGGGAAGCAACCAACACAGGGGACCAGGGTCTTCAGCAAGGGCCTGTCAGTACCCCCAGATCCTGGCTCTTGCTCAGCTCACCGGCCTGCACTGCTGCAGTTTCATCCCTATCGGGGCAGAGAGCAGGTCCCTACGCAGCTCCCTGCGCCTCGAGGCCTCCCGGGGACCAGAGCCCATCAGCCAAACTCCTGCAGCCCTTCTGCCACCGGCTGCTCTCAGCTACAAGGCTGCTCGTGCCACAGGATGCAAGATGCTGCTCTAACTGCTAAAAGGAGCACTTACAATATGCTGTTCAAAATATGAAACGTTACAGCAGGGACTTTTAAAACAGAAGTGTCCACATTTCCTACACAGTCTTTTAACCTTTAGATACCCAAGTTTAAGAACCTGTCAGGATTCATCACACAAACACAGGTGACCCAACAAGACAGGCACCTCCCTGCACGAAGCACACATCCTCATTATCAGTATTATAGACAAGAAGCATAACCTTGTGGCCAACATCTATTACGAACCCCACTTATATGCCACACACTCACTTTAATTGTCCCTGAGGACAAATGGAAGTGCCAAATGTTTGTTTACGGAGCCATTTTGGAGGCAAGGACAAGTGTTTGACACGTGGCCCTTCTCAGCCTGCTGCCTGCAGACTGCACAAACAGCCCAAAGACTAAAGGCTGTGCAACGCAGGGCACAAATTGCCACTTTAGCTCTAAACAAGCAGCACAGTCATCACCCCAGTGCCCAAGTGCTGTGTTGAGCTAGCACTTGAAGCAGCACTTGTGCATATATGAATCCACCCTGTGGCAGGACTGTAATACTCATTTGCTGCTTCTTGCAGACACATCAGCTCATTGAGAGCTGCCTCTCCTAACTTTAAATGAGGCCCTGCCAATCCTGTGGTCACTGCTCAGGCAACAAATGCACAGGCAGCTGCAGCATCACATTGGAAACAGGATGCATCTGTGGTAACAGCTGGAACTGGAGACTTCCATTCCTCCACTGAAGGATATTCCTGCATTGACTGATACCACCTCCCATCTCTTCAGGTTTTCAAATAAACAGAAGGAATATTAAACACGTGGGTAGAGGGATGAAATGCAACCTCCCTCAAGCAGCCTTCCCCTTCACCCCATGAGGTTCTCCCAGTCTTTCAGCAAACCTGAAAGATCTTCAATGTCACCTGGAGGAAAAAACTGAAATCCGTTCAGCCCTTTCAGGGAAGATTCCTGGACAGCTTTCTGCAAGACCACAGAATAATCTTGAAAGAAATGAAGTTAAGACTAAAGAAAAAGAATCCAAATATGCCTAACATGCTCTGCAAAACCATGAAACAGTTAGTAACACAGCAAGGGGTTTAACTGTTTACCTCTGCTCTTGCGTTTGACAAATGTGTTATGACTCTCCAAAGGCTGTCCCAGGGTTTTCCAATGATTGTTATCTTTTTTCTTTAAGTTTATCTCCACCTTCCCAATTTTTTCAGCAATTTTTACTGAAAGAAGAAAAGAGTTTCATATTATTAGTTTCAGTTACATTTTGTACCAAAATATATATTTCTTCTCCATTATAATGACACTCTAGGAGGACTGGTCATTTCTCAAGATGCACAGAATTGATGTGCTAAATTAAAATACCAAATTAAATATACTTCCAGCTATCACCTTAAAATATTAATCAGAATATTTAAAACAACAAGTACTAACTTAATATGCATAATTAACAGATTCTATTTACTAAATACATCGTGAACGGCTTCACAGCCCATCTGGTCAAAAAGAAGGCTCATGAATTCAAAGCTCTCAATTACTGGGAGTTGGTACAAACCAGCAATACTTACTTCCTCCTGTCATTTGAATGAACAACTGAATTTAAGAAAAATCTCAATTTAAGCAGAGAAAGTTCTACAAATACACAACATAAATTATTTCTAATGATTTTACTTTAAAGTGGTTGATTTGATGGCTTGATTGGATTGTGTCAGAAGCTGATGGCAAAAGCATAAACTATCTGACAAGTGAATACTCTTCAGAGGCAAAATAAAAAAGCAGATATGACTCTGTCATTAAGAGATATAGAAGAAAGAAAGGACAGAACTTACTTAAAAAGTCTTCTTCAACGGCATGATCCAAATCTAAAATAAAGAAAAACAAATTGTTTTTTAAGGAGGGAATAAAGAAAGGTCACGTTCCAGTGTTCACATCTACATTAATTCAAGACCAGAAACAGCAAGTGAACAAGGGAGCCCAGCACCCTACAAATATTTATTATGTCTTTGAAATGAATTTTCACTGTATTTCACTCAACTTCACTGAATTTTTCACTTTGAAGAGAAATTTCCCTGTGTTGCGACGTACCAATCGCCGCAACTTTTGCAGACGAAACACTTAACATCAAGACAGACATTTGTTTCCTCGGGGTTTTTTTTAACCAGTAACTCATGCAAAGCTACCAATCTGCATTTATCAGAATAACTTCCTTTGCCATTTTTGAACAAGAGCATTTTGTCAGCAACATACACTTGGTGTCAATGTCACATAAAATTTTCAGTCTTCTATTTCTTACTATACCTTATTCTACAGAGCTTTGGACAGTACATGACAAATGATATTAAAAAAAGTACATGTTAAAAATCAAGATATGCGAGTTGACAATGGACTTCCTTTACATGCGGTATTTTTAAGCAATCTTCTCCCATGGAAAACATTAAATGTAAATTGGTATACATAAAATACACTTTGCACAGCCTGTGAGATGCTAAAAAACCTTAGTATTTTCAACTGCAAAGTGAGGCACCTACCAACTTCTAGGACATACGAGTAGTCATTCAGGATGATCTCTCCCCTTAATCTTTTGTCTTCACAGTCAACTATCACCAGCTCTGCATTCATATCCTTACATCAGCAGGAAAAAAGAATATTATTTTAGTAAAAGTCATGGAATTCAAGCTGGACCACAGCTGGATCTTGTAATTTTCCTTTCATAAGATGCTTTTACCTTCTGTTTAGTGTATATAACAATGGTGATCAAACTATCCGTTTGGAACCAGTCATAACTGAAAAACAAGAAATAAAGAAAAAATACATATTTTGGGGATATATATTTAAGAGCTTTTGAGCAGAGTTTCTTTCATGAAGTTAGAAGCCGAATACATTATTCACTCTCTTTTGAAGGAGTAACTCCAGATCAATAATTTTCAAAATAACGCTCAAGTTAAGTGTTATTACCCACCCTGATTGTTAGCACATTGTAGCTAAGATTACACTGCACTGGTCTTGCTCAACAAGCATACATCCTCCTTGCAACACGTGAGCCTTCCTAGCAAGACACTGAAAAAAACCACTGGACAGAAAGGAGCCAAGCTAGGCTCCATGAACTGTTAGTTCCACCCTACACAGCACTGAAGAGTAATCCCCTTCATTCTCCCCTAAATCAAGATTTTCCATTCCTATTTTCCAAATTACCCTCAAAACCTTGTAATAAATCTAGGGAGATTTATCAGGAGACAGGAAGCACCCTTGGCACGCTAAGGTCTGCATTTCCCGACACTTGCCAAGGAGTCCCCAATACACCTATCTCCACTCCCAGGAAAGCTTTTCCTTCCCTTCCCACTTTTCAAGGGGGCCATACATCAGGCAGCCATACAACATCTGGCTGTCCACCGTACAGCATCCACATGTTCCCCTGACTCCGGCATCACCGAGGCTGCAATCCCAGCCCATGGAAGGCAGGCAGGATAACACCTTACGGAATCACAGAAGGGTTGAGGTTGGAAGGGACCTCTAGAGGTCATCCAATCCAAACTCCCTGCACATGCAGGGACACACGGAGCACAGGGTCGCTGTTGATAAGACCCCCACATCCACATTCCTGCTGTCTTCTCCCTTCCCTCTTCCAGCTGCAGGTAACCAGCCCACCGAGAGCACGTGCCCAGGGGAGCCTGATGCCAAGGGCAGGAGTCAGCCTCGGGGGCTGGAGGCATCACGGAATAAAAAGGCACCTCTGACAACAGCGAGCACGACACAGCAGCTCCTCAGGGCCTGCTTCCCTTGGCGTTTGCAAACTAAAGTCCTGAATGTAACTGTTGTACCTTAACGTATTCCAGTCTGAAACGAGGTACTTCTCCTAGACGTGCTCACTCATATGTTTAGGGACAAATAAGTCAAATAAGGTTTGAAAAAAAAAAGAAGTAATCAGCGCAGGCAAAAACACTTTGCAGGAGTTATGACAAGAAGCAAGGTTGAAGAGGCTGAATATAAATTTACACACAACGCAAGGGAGCACATGTGTTAGAAATCAGCAGAGGAGGCCAGAGGACATGCATCATCTGCCTGTAAGGTCAATACAACCCTGGGAAGTCATTTAGTTATGGAAACTCAACTTTCCTACTTTTAAGAGGATAATGACAATATATCCATTTAGGTAAAACACTGAGAGCTAAACATGGAAGAAGCTGCCTGCACTGAGTAAGAACTCGTGGAGTTGTTAAACGGTATGTTCAATAGATTAAGAGAGGTATACCTTGGAGTGGAGTCTTTAGCAGAAGCATCCAGGACTTTCTTTTCAAGAAGCAATCCTAAAAAAGACAGACAGCCATTAAAACAGTTGCAGAGATATTCACTTAACAGAAACCATAATCACAAGCTTAACATTTATGTGCTAGCTGCCCTTCCTCAATATATGGTGGCTTTATTTCCACAGATGGGCACAGGCTGTCTCCTAGTTGAGTGATGTTGTTATTTGGAGACAAGCTCCTACACTAGGAGGAGTTTCACAGACGGGTTCCACAGAACACCACAGAACCCGGGCGTGCAGACTGCCTGGGACAGCGAACCTGCTCTCAGCTGCATCTGGCACTGGCTTTTGCCTTCGTGTTTTCTGGTGGTGCAAGAGAAAAAATGTTGTCCTTATTAATTTACTTTAACAGAACTATTTGCTTATGAAATAGAGATCAAGAAATTCAATTCTCAATGTCCAGTGTAGTCTAATTCCCACGTAAAATTTCACATTAGTGAATCAAGCAGAGATTTCAATCTTAAACTTCCTATTTTGTGTCTTTATAGAAATCTTTGTGGAATTCAGCTGCTTGCTTTAGCATCATGACAGAGCCTGAACAGGCCTTTCCTGGAAGGCAACACTCGTGCAGTCCTGGCACAGCCAAACTCCCTTGTGGCCGAAGGGAATGGGATTTACTTGGCTAAAACTTGAGCAGAGTTGGCAGGTTGGAGCAAGCAGCCGTTCTCCATCACCTTTGAAGCCAGGCCATTGCACAGAGCCACGATGGAGAAAGATGCCCAGGTTAATGTGTAACTTGGTCTGCAGCACCACACTTACAGCAGGAATCTCACTGGACAGTGGTCAGGCAGAAGCATAAGATAACAGTTGGTAAAGGATGTTCTTATTACAAAAGGATGGCTATTTTAAAACTTAAGACAAGGAACAGATATTTCCTACCAAAGGAGGTCATTTCTTTGAGGTAAAACATTTTCCTAAAAACCTGCGGACATAAATACCAATTCTTTATTACATTCCTCTAAGAACAAAGGTGATCTGGGGCTGAGCAGTCTTTAACTAATTATAGTGTAGAAAAGCCTCCTCGCTAGAATCTTTTAAGTGCATTCAGTAGCAAACCTTGTAAGCCAGAAGTGGCTATTCATAAAATGCAATTAATGGATGAATTTTCTCATTGACTTAGTACATTATCTTCTAAGTACCGCCAAGTTTGGTAGTGTGACTACATGGTTAAACACAGAAATTCTGCGACTCCACCAGGTGGGAAGTCTATAAAAGCAGCAGGGCCCACTCTGTTTAATCCAATCCGACAAAATGACGGATCATCCCGATGGAGGAACTATCCCATTCCAATTGAGACTTGCCTGAATTTCTTGCACTCTCCCCTTCGATGACCCCCCGCACGGAGCAGCTGCTGCTCAGCAGCGGCCAAGGCAGCTCGGGGCAGAGCAGTCCCAGGACTGCAAGGGAGAACCCAGCACGCAGTGACAAACCTTGTCCACGGCTGAGCCTTCCTCAGAGACACCACAGCTCCGCAGGGTCTCCAGGGGAAGCGGTGCCAGGGCCCAGGAGCTGCACCCCACGGGGCCACAACCCCTGCTACCGAAGCGGGATCCGGAGCGCTCCGAGCCAGCTTGCAACGAGCTCTACCACACTTTGCATCGGCTCCAATCAGGCTGCGAGGCCACGTTTCCCCACCATGTATCAGGAAGTCTTTTTGACAGCACTTCTCTCCAAAGAAACAAAAGCTCCTACTTGACATGAGTTAAGACTATTAAAAGCACAGATGGCACAGGACTGTGAAGAAGCCATCGTGTGAAGAGACCTTGTGCTGAAATTCCCCGTCACACCCCACACTCCTACTCGCTTTTCCAGGGCAACTAAATACAAACAGGCAGAAGAAAGCAGAAGGACCCAGCAAACCCTGGGAATTGGCCCCAGGTGCTGGCAGGGGCTGTTGAACGCTGCGGGAGCAGCGGGATACGTGTGAGCACCACGAGGCCGGGTCCACAAGGACGCAGCGGGAGCAGGACGGGCTCCCAGCACCGAAGGAAAGACAAATATCCCAGGCCGCCTCAAGCAGGAGGGGACATCCAGAGAGTTACAGGCAGGTAACCTCAGGCAGGCCCCACAACAGACCTGACACACCGAAAATATAAATGTTCCCGTTCTCTTTAGTAATCTGGCTTACCAGGAATGCTGAGTAATTCCAGCGTGTTGAACCACAAGGGTTTGCTTTCTTCACTTGAAGCTTTGGGATATCCCCCCACCACCCCTTTCCACATCATATCTTCTTCCAAGTTCTCATGTCCTTTTTCCCAAACACTACCGGATTGACTTCAGATGGTGGAACTGCCCAAGTCATTTATTTTATTGTTATTACTACAGAAATGTCTTTAGTGCCACCTAAAAACCACTGCCCATGCCCACGCCATGGGCTTCTCTTTCCCATCGTCAGACAGCAAGGCTTATTCCTAGTCTCATTTAAAGTTACAAGAGCTAGATCCTGAGATACAATAACTGAATATGAAAAAACTCATAGGAGGTAAAATAAATTAAAAAATGTCCACAACTCCTCAGGTCATTGCCCAAATCCTATTTTGAAGAGTCTTATCCAACAGGTACCCTGAATACATCAAACAAGTTTTAAATGAAATTTCATTCACTTGGGGCACTTTTGTGGGAAACTACACCCAGAAGCTGGAAATGCCCAACGCTTCCAACATCTCCTGAAAGTTCACATGACCTAAAGGAAAAAAAATCCAATGGGTCTCGGAGCAGGAAGGGAAGCAAGATGGGAAGACAGGGAAGGAATATCGCTCACTTTTCATTTCCTGGCTCAGCTATCAGTATGAAAAGAGCCATGTGAAAGCTCAGCACAGACAAACAAAAACCCAAGAAATTCATGAACCAACATGACCAAGCAGAAGAACAAACACACCAGGGTAGATGGCACAATGAGTCTTCTACTTGAATCAAAATATTTATGAATTATTTAATGACTACAAACTGCTGCATTGGGATATAAATCTGATGACACTAAACTGTTTGTTTTCCAATTCCTCCTGCCTTTAGCAGATTCCAACCCCTGTTCAGCACTGAAGAAAAAACATAAATGAGAGACAAAAGCCGATCCTGTTGCAAAGTTTAATGTCATTATCTATAAGGCTATTGGCAAAACAGAAACAAATCGGTTTTGCTGCCTTTTATGTAACATATGCATAACTTCAGCATTAAAAGTCTGTTTGTTAGTTCAGTGTTCGTACATGCTAGAAAAGAATCTGCTTGTTAGAAGTCAAAGCAACACGAAGCAGGGGTAAGAAAAACAGCAGGAAAATAGAAGAAACAAATGGGAAGACTCGAGCAGCAGGCAGAGCACGAATGGGGTAACATCCCTGCACTGTGCCAGGGGGGCTGGGACACCCAGACCCTCAGGCACCTCTGGATTCAGCCCAGGACACATCCAGGTTTTGGCTCTTGCAAAACCCGAGTGCCACAGTCATCTTTCCCTAGGCTCCAGCCTAGACTTTTTCATGCCCAGTTTTCACCCGTCTGCTTTTAGGCCACAAGGTCTCCCTTCAGCTCAAACACTATTATCTTCCCTCACACTCATGACATTTCCTCTGCCAACAGGCCCCCATCACCCCCCGAATGAGCGCACTCCACGAGCCCACGAAGCTCTTCAGGGAGCCTCCAAAGCCAGGATCACTAACTACTCGATAGCTCTCCCTCCTTAAAAAGGACAAAATCAAACACGTAGCTGTACTCGTTGTCACCCAATGAACACTCAGCTCTCAGTGGAGTCTATACATTCAGTGAATTCTATACGTCCCACAAAAGCTCAAGCTATTTCTGTTACTCCTGCTCCTTGGCCACCTAACTTCTCTAACACAAGGGAGGATAAACAAGCCTAACAATTTAGCACTGGCAAATTGCTGCAGCAAGGAGCTACCTGCGACCTGCCTTGTCCGAGTCTAGCAAAGCCACATGCACAAAAGACTCCTCCAAGAAGTGGCCTTCAGCATCAAACTCCCTTTTCCACCCTATCCCACTGCTGCCTTTCAACACTTTATCCCTGAATTCATCCATCTGATTAAGCTTTTGCCTCCTGGAATTCCCAGAGATTGCCAACACCTCAACATCAGGTTGATATAAACAGACAGAAGTCTCATAAATGCTGCTCATTTAATAACCACATTCAAATTAAAATTTGCTCCCCACCTTGCCCCAGGTCAGATACTTACCATTAAGCCGTTTCTTCTCTTCAGATATAGAGGAAATCTCTACAAGCATCAAGAAAAACAACAGTGACCAAGACAGCAATGAGGTGGGTGCCTGCCAACTTCAAAGCAATGAGCCAAATTAAGAATCCCCAAATAAAACCTCCAGAATGTAACACGATTGACAAGGAGGCTTCAACAATCACGATACCGAACACAGCACTACATGCAGATTATACAGAAAATACCAACACAAAACACAACGCATAATTGAAAAAAAAAAAATGTTAAAAATGTGAGAAGTTGCATAGCACTCAAAGGTAAGAAAGGCAAGAACTTTTACTTGACAAGGCAAAAGAAACAACAGACATTATCCTGTATTATTAATTCAAAACAAAGAGCAGAGATTATCTTGTATTATCAACTTCGTAGGCAAAAAGCTTGCAAAGCTTCCTGAATCTCAGACTTTAGAAGACATTTGTCTCAAGTCAGCATGTAGTAGACCCTGAATCTGATCTACAAGCATTTAAATCTATTTTCAGCCTAATCCTTGACAGAAATTCAGGGGAAAAAAATACTTCTACTAGTTCCTTCTGTCCTTCTGTCTACTAGTCCTTCCGTCAAATGGTTTTAGTACTTGAAAAGTCTAAACTTTTCATGGAAACTACTGTATTCTGCAATAACTTTCAAACAAAAATAAGTCATAAATACTAGAAGGGAAATGGACAAGAGAATAAAGTATGTCCCTGAATACATACTATCAACTCATATATACAACAATATTCAACTCTGAGGCAAAGGTATCGTGCTTCTCAGACCAATATCTTTCTCCTGGTTACAATATGTGGGGGGGAACACCCCTCTGGATGTACCAAGACATCTAGCGCTTCTCTATACAGAGATAGTGATAGGAATCGAAGACCTCCTTTATATTCTCCTTTACGATAACCAGCTTTGGGTGAGTGAAAGAATCTAATTTGCTCTTCCTGCTCCTTTCTATGAAATCAAGATCTGGAGGTTCTGCCCTGCGATGGGCTTCTGAGCCCCTGCCAGTGCTCGACATCACGCCAAAGAGGAGTCAAGGAAAACGCCACTGCAAGAGCAATTAAGGCTCTGGGAGCAAAGCATCCAGCACACACACCTGGAAAGGGACTTTGGAGGAGGCCAAGACCAGCCTCTATCAGAGGTTTTCATGTTGTGCCATTGCAGGATGAAAACACTGTAAAATGAATGAGAATTCCTCCAAGACCTTGGGTTTAGCCTGTGTTTCTCCGTATATACTGCTGTATCCCATTTCCAGCATTCCACTCAGGCAAGCAAGCCACTTAAAAAATTAAGTTTCTGAATAATCGTCAGTTTTGGCATTCAAAATTCTACTCTCATTTCCCTGTATTTTAGCATGTTGCCCAAAATTTAGTATTCCAAATTTAACAACACTTGTTAGAAGCACTTTTAAGATACAGTCATACTTTCTCTCCTTGGATCCTCTTGGCCTATTCTGACTGACTTCATAATCCATGCTGGCACATACATTCCAATATACAGATTACCAAAAAATAACATATGGCCACGTACAAAGATAGGTCACTGAGGAACATTAGCAGGAGTACAAGGTACCACATGATAAAGCAATATCCAAGTTAACATCTATAGCCAAGTACCCTGAAAGGATGGCACACAGAGTAATGGCAGAAAGCTCAAAACTATAAAGGATTTTGGAGGAGAGGGAAGCAGACAGAGCAGTCCCCCTCACACAAGCAGTCAGTGCTGCAGTTACTGCAGAGGCCTTCACACCACGTACCAGGCCACCCCGCCAGGCTCAGCTGGGCCTCCCCATGGCACTACCCAAGAGTCTCCTATCAGCCACCGTGACAGCACCAAACAGCACCCCCAGAGACTGGTCAGCACGAGGCTGCTGGTGACTGACAGCCACAGAGTCTCTTCTTTCATTCAGCAGTCCTAGAACGTGAAGGGCGAGCTTAAAGTTCCTCAAAAAACACCTTATTTGCTCACTGAATCATCTTCTAAATAATGGCTGGAATTTAGGAAACACAATGCTGAACTAAACAGACAGAAATAATCCAGCAACACTCCAAGAATCCCCTATCTGGCTTCCTAGCCTCATACTGAAACTACACAAAACAGTAAGTATCAAAGCTGGCAATACTGTCAAAGGCTCCTCCTTGCTACAAAAAGAAAACTATTTATAGTTGGAGTGAAAGGCCTGTCTTTCTTCTATACGTAACGGTCCATTTAATGCTAAACCCCAAAGCAGACACCTTAGCTCTGTGCTTTCTTCTTCCATTTTCAAATCCAAGTTTTGCTGAACTTTAGAGAAAGACCTAACGTAAAAATTATTGCTGTCCACTAGTGAAATTCATCAATCTCATTCTTCGTAATTCCCTATTCAGAAGAGGAGGATACAAAACCCACCATGAATCAAACGAACTTCTAGATTTTCACACTGAGGAAAGAATCTTCCTTTAAGCAAGCTGCCCCAATGGTCACTGCCTACTACTTTTAAGCAGGGATAGTTTTAATTGAACTGTCAAAAATTGAACTGACAAATGCATTTTTGCCCAAGCATGTGTTAAAGAGTCTAACTATTAAACTAAACCTGGCTAGCTGAAGCAATTGCTGGAGCAATTACTCCTTTTTTTTTTCCAATAAGCATCCAGCAAATCCAATCTGATTTCATTCTTAATTAAATGAAATAAAATATTTTCTTCAAGCCTGAAATGGCCAGAAGACACATAGACAACAGAATCATTTTAATACAGCTAGCAATGTCTCATCCTGCTTGCTGTACAAACCAGCAAGCTTCAGCTTTTACTACAGCTACATGGACGGAGCTCTCCTATTAAAGAGGAAAGTAGAAGAAAAAGCAAAGAGCAAAAAATAGGCTGACATGGCTGGCACAAGCAAAGATGCATTTATTTTTCATTCACTGCCTCTTATGGTCTCTGGTTGCAGAGAAGTTAGATTCATGAAATCAAAGGAGATTTATCTTTAAATTTCTATCAGAGGTGAAAAAGGGGCAGTAATTCAACTGTTAACACATCAACTCCATTAATCATGAAGCAGTTATTCTGTCTTGATTTGTTCATATGTTGTAAAATTGAACTTGAACTCCACAAATGAATTAACTACCTAGCAGCGAGCAAATATAAAATTCTATTTCCCCTTCATAAGGGCACAGATAAAGAAAATCAACCTAACTGTAACACAAATTAAAGTACTGAGCGAGTATGAAATGTGTTTTGTCAGGGCCTGATGAGCACCCTTCAAGAGATGGTTTAATTTGTGACCTATAGGATGCCACAAAGTTAGGAAAACAAAATCAAATAGAAGCAGCATCAGCAGCTAATTCCAGTAAAATAAATTATATCTCTTATTCTGGCTCAAGAGAGCCTTTTATCAGCAATTTTTTCTCCAAGTCAATTCAAACTCTAGAAGACAGAGTAAAGGATTCTAGGAAGAATTACTGTCCACATCTCCAAGTATCTCCAACTTTCAGACATATATCTGGCATCAAAACAACTAAGCAAGAAGCCTCATTTTCATTTCTCTCTGCTCTAAATTGCATTCAAGAGCTGCCTATAAGAACTTGTCCTCCAGGGCCTGAAGAAGGAAGCGGGTTCCTCAACAAGGATGGAGAATGCAGACATACAAACACATGCCCCTTGTTCTCTGGTGACTAAAGCAAAAGAAACGTAGAAGTACATTACATATAAATACTTATCATCATAAAAGTTTTCATTTATAAAACATTCTCATCTTCACCTACATTCAGTCATTCTGACTATTTAGTCAGAAGACTAAATATATGTTACAGTCTTCATCTTTGTGCCAGAATATAGACTCTCCTCATAAATACGAGGATCTAGGATTTTGCACAAATTCCAGATGACTTTGGAAGAAAACATGGGAAATTTAATTCTAAAGCACTCACCTTTTGAAACAGAAACAGGCTTGAGAGCCATTCTTCCAACAAGACACTCCTTCAACATGGACTCATAATTGACCCAACGATGAACCTGCATCAAAAAAAGAAGTTTTCATAAAATTTGCGTTTTTACTGTGTTTCTCTTCTATGTAGTGAAATACCATAGCAAAAGAGTTCTTTTTTTTGTACAATGGATCATAATAATTTAGAAATTAAGTTTTGCTTAACCCTGAGACACTTACTGTTCAATGACTCCATATTCATTTTTACTTCTATTACAAGTAGCGAATATTTAAAGTAAAAAAAAAATACAGCCTTGAAAAAATGAGAGCAGCTTAATTTATTAATTTTACACTTTGCAGTATATGAATACCATAGTTTTGAGCTATACGAAATTATACCAAAGATTGCAGCAGGACTTTTTTAATAACGTTTACAGCACCCCCACCTGCACCTTATGTGATTAAAAGAGTCTGAATAGGTCTTTACAACACGGGAAATGATTTTTTTCTAGACACAAATGATAAGGAGAAAGGAGCACCAGATGAAGGAAAGACAGAGAGCATGTAGCAGTTTCGATATACCAAACTTGTAGGAGATATTGATGTAGCTGTTTGTTTCTCTCTTGTAAATATCGATTCACTGGAAAACAATCAGTGATTGAAAGCCATCAGTGATTAATTTTACAGAGCCAAATAAATTGAAGAAAAAGCAGTGGCTTTTGTGAACTATAGGATGCCATAGGAAATGGATAGCAGAAAAGCCAATTCTACTATATCACCCAGGATAACATCACAAGGAAACAGACTGCAACAGTACAAATGTAAATGATATAGAGATTTAAAATACAAAACCAAAAGCTTTATTCTGGAAAAGTGGAGATGATGAGACAAGGAGAAGGATGTAAAAGCAGAAGTTTCCTAGTATACAGATAATGGAACGATATCAAGGATTTTGAGTTTCAGAACTTACTCTGAGAAGTGCTAGCAACCTACTGAACATTTAAAGAGAGCAGCATCTGGCCAACCCTGAATGCTAAAGCAAAGGGGATAGCAATGGAAATGCCTCTGAAGCAGAAAAGGTATCAGCCAGAAACAGAAATGGTAAGAACATGTTTTATGAATCTGAGCACTGTTCTCCACTCTTAGATAAAAATATTTTTTAAATAGCACGCCCATGCGTGAACTTTAGAACAATTTGATGAGCTTCCGAAAATGCAGTGCAAGTACCAGAAAAAGGCATTTCTCTGCTAACAAGATCCCTGCTTCTGAAGACAGCACGTAGTGCCTGACAAAGAGTGATACCACTCAATTTCAGGTCACAATTTGATACTGCATTGACTTTTAGAAGAGAAAGTCCACATTTCTTTAAACCAGAGATGCTTGGTGATCAACACAGTATTATGCCTGAACTCAACACTTCATTTGCAAAGGGATTAACCAAAAGTAAACAAAACAAAAGATTTCAATACAACTTTCCTTTGTGTTGCCGAAGCCTCGTTCGCTAGCTGGACTGACCCGGGGTTGTTCGTGCCCCAGGGCCATAGAGACACCAATGTGGAGGATGCAGCAAATGGCCTTTATTGCGTAGTTCAGCTTGCCTAAATACTCCATTTGAAATGTGCAAACTCACCTCCTGCCCAATCGGGACACTAATTGCAAATTTTTGCCTTGTATGGCATGGAGTTATCAGTAAACTGCCCAAATTAACTATGCTCCTAAATCCTGTGACATCGCGAGATCTTCCGAGCGCCATGCCCTGTGCTCTGTGCCCTATGCTACACTATATCATCTACTTTCGCTAAGCTCTCTACCTTATTAAGCCTAAAAACACAAAAACTCCTACACCTTTGTTTACATGCACTGTTAAAAACATTGTGCAAATAATGTACTGTGATGCAAGAACTATGAAGAGACAGAACTACTTCTCTTTTCTCAAATCTGTTTCTCAACATATACAAATGAAAAACTTAGAGTCTGTTTAGAGAAAAAAAAGTCTTAAAAGACTTAAAAGCAAAGGGTAAAGAAAAAGACTTCAAATGTCATCTTACAATTTGTGCACAATGTAGCAGTGACAGTGATTTTTCTTAGTATTTTGTTAACAGATAATACAATAAGTTAATAAACAAAAGCATCCTACAAGCACTTGTCAAGAAGTGAATATGGTCTGAGAAGACAATGTCTGTCAAAGACAGTGATTAGTCATTGTAGAAATTTATTACAAAGGAGGGATCTCAAATTGTTATTAATTTTATTGCTATTTCATGTAAAAAAAATTTAATATAGGGGTCTAATCAAAGCATCATCTGGGCAATGTAGAGCAACATATCTACCATTTTCTTTTGATATTAGACTTAAGCCATAAGCTACTTTCAGCACGCTTTACCCTTGAAAAAGTTTAAATTGCTATTTCCACAGGGATGTCCTAAAAATAAACAGAAAACATGCCATTTTCGGTATGCTTTTCAGTGAGCAATCATTCACTGACAGTTGTTCTCACCTGATCAAAGAGATCTGTACCATCCGTGCCTGCCGCTTTCATTAGCTCTTCCTCACCACCAGGATGATACTCCATGTAGGGAGTGACATTATAGACAAAGCCTGCAGAAAATGGAAATACCAGTGAGCAAGCTCCTACAATCACTATAACTATTTCCCCATCAACAAAAACAGTGCAAAAAAAATTACATTAAATAATGTGTAATGGCAAATTGCGATGATCATCCAAATGATCTGACTTTCCAAATCCAGAAACATAAATTACAGTCATACATATCACAAGTCAAATCTTAGTACAAAGGCATGTCACTCCTACAAAGTCACACCACTTGTCCCAGTGAATGTCTGGGGAAATCTACAGGGCTGAAACTTTAACAAAAAAAGCACTTAAAGTAGCACATATTCTATTCTGGCTATGGGGTAATAAAATAAGAGACCAATTTAAACAGGGACATAACATTGACCAAGTTAGTGCACAGAACTGTCTTCCCTTTCCCCTCCAACTAAGTTATTCCTAAAGAGCGTTCAGTTGCTTCCTTGCCACCATTCCCATATGGAATAAACACCTGCAGAGAGAAAGTCTTCTCTGGGAAAGGGAGCTGCCACTGGCAACAAGCCTTCCCTTCCTAAAGCCAGCAACACAAACTACACACGCCCCATTCTCACTAAAGGCTTCTCACACTGGGAACATGTTTGTTCCAGCAAAAGTGCATTCCTTCCATACGGGTACTAGTCTTAGTATTTCCAACAAGAGAAAATAACACTTCACACACCGCAAAGGTGAAGTCTAATTACTGTTACAAAGCAACTCAAGCAATTAGAGTCTGGAGAATAAAACCAAGTGCAGTTTTAACTGCAGGCATATTGCTGCTTAGAGAACTAACATAGGTTAACCCAGCAGAACATTTGAAATTACATAAAATCAGCAAAGCAGGAAGTCACTGAAAGTGGAGCCCTGCCAGTACTCACAGAAGAGGCTTTGCACTCATTAGAAAGTGTGCATCTCTTCAGCGAGAGCTCTCCCCCATCTACCTCTCCAAGGAGCAACAAGAAATGACTTTTGCACATTCTCCTGACCTGCTCTCCCGATGACCATATCCACTGTGCCATCATCTTTACATATTTGCAAAGAGCTCCTCAATGCTAGCCTTACATTCAATTTACCAACAAACCCGCACAAGCAAAAGAAATCTTATTTCTACATCCTTCCCTCGCTTCCTTCTCAACCCCCTGGCCTCCCACTTTATATAACCTGCGGCCTATCTGATATTTTCTCTTCATGTTTCTAGTTTCTAAACAGAGGTAGTTCCTGACCTTCTGCTTCACACCCTTGTCACCACCTTCTGCTCTTTCCTACAGTCTTACAACGTCAATGCAAGCAAGTCGTTTAGGTTTTCCACCTGGTGTAATTTTATAACTCCTCCATATGTCATGTCAACTGATAATCTATTGGGATTCTCAAAAACACTGTGTTATCCTTAACAGGACAAAGGAAAAGTGGAGAGGTGAATGAAGACAGATGCAGTAGCAGCATCTGTAAAAATGAACATCAGAGATGAGGCCTAGAAGGAATAAGAGATTAAAAACAAAACAGATACTACTAAGCAGTGATTCCCTCTGCAGTAGTTTCCTTTTTTTGTGAGGGAAAGAAGCACAGATTTCCATAGTAAATAACCTTTCCTGAATTCTCCTTCTGCTTCAGCTTTACAAGCGTGTGCAAGATCAGCACACAGAGGATGTTATTTTAGTCTCTACAGAATAACTGAACCAGAGAGCAAACATTCTGCTTCTTTCTGCAAGACAAATGGGAACTTCCTCTTCAGCACTAAAAATCTCCTCTAGCCAGGGCTGCTGTTCCAAACCATTTTGAACACATTAAATCTAATCACGCTGATTTAACTTCTTAGTCAAAACTTCTTCCAAGTAATTACACACAAAACATGGCTCTGTTAGCCCAGGTATTTGTTCCTGTAGGCAACAAGGGCTCTGCACAGCAGCTGTCACTTGCCTTTCTCAATTCTTCAGTGAGGAAGGAGCATGTGGGTTTACACACACTTACTTCCCCAAAGCTGTCAGACAGCTCTGAACATCAACTTCAGAAGTTATGTCTTCAGATGTTTTAAAGCGGTCACTAAAACTCCTGAGCTGCTAAGGACACTAAGACCTTCTAGAGGAAAACTGTGAGCCCCTGCCAGCATTTCCAATGTCTTGTTCCTGCCAAGCTCCTGCTGCTTGGGCACCACCTGCAGTATCACGTGTTATCATTTGCACGTACTAGCATGCAAAAGGAGCAAAACATGCTCACTTTGAAGACTTCTTAAGAAAGGCTTGAAAACAAAGCAACATTATTTGTCACGTTAGATCTCTCAACCAAAGCTGCGTCCTGTCCTGCTGGAGCTCCACCCTATCCAAACACAGGCGTGGCTGTTGGTTTGGGTGGGTTACTTTGTTCCCAAAAGACAGCAGGCAAAAGGGCACGGAAGCAGCACCACAGCAACCCACCTCTTATGCATATCCAGCAGTCCTCCTTGCTGCTGTGCTTGGCAAGCTCCTCTTCGGTCACCTCAACGAGCCGCCCCTTCACCCCAGCCAAGTCCTTCCCGCTTTTGGTCAGCCGGATCCAATCCATGAGGCTCCTGCCCGGCTTCAGGGGCACCTGGGGCGGCCAAGGCGCGAGTGAGTCCCCCCCGAAGGAGGCACGAGGCGAGCAAGGCGCTGCCCCGCGCTCTCCCGGAGGAGAAGCCGCGGCCCCCACGGATGCCGGGGCCCCCACGGAGCTCACGGGCCGCTCTCACTGCGGCCTGGACACCCGCGGGCAGGCACAGGGCGGCGAGGCCCCTCGCCAAGGGCCGGGAGCCGCAGGCCGCGGCGGGGCCGGGGCCGGTGCCCGAGGCGCCACCTCCGCGACTCCCCCCCCGCTCCCGCTCCCGCTCCCCGCTCCCCGCTCCCGCTCCCCGCCGCCCACCTTGGCGCG